TTTCACCTTCTCGATACCTTTAACAATAACAGAGATACAGGGGGTGTCCCAAATAGCAAAATTTTCAAAAAGACCCTGTAGCTCAGAAACGAAGAGGGCTATGAAAATTTTGTTAACGGCATCTCTTGTTTGACAAAAAAGTGGCATAGGTTTGTGCAAACCGCACCCTTCTACCTTCATGAATAACGGAGATACCGTATGATTTCAACCAAAATGGGACACCCTGTACATCATAAACTAAGAAATTGTGTAACGAACTCGCCATAAAGAAGTTAACAGTCAATATTACATAGGTTATAATTGCTAACGTATTTTCGACTGTAGTCTAGCAAATGTTATCGTTAAAAACAATTAAATTTTCTACAAATCCTCCAATTCTATATAAAATAAGTTAAGGGGAATTTATTTATATAAAGATATTTTTATAACCCTATAAAAATGTTTCTTAACTTGTGTTAATAACAAAAATAATTAATTATAATCAGTAACAATAGACAAAAAATGAATCCATGTAGAAAGCGTATACAGGATGGTCCGAACTGTATTCCGGAAACTTCGGCAGCATATTCTGCAGATAAAAATAAGTAAAAAAGTTCGTATAAATGTAGGTCCTAAACTGCTTAGCTTCAGAGAGACAGGGTGTTGAAGTTTCATTTTTATTTCGATTTTTTCTAAATAATTTCTGAAATAACGTCAATATTTGGATGAAAATTGATGTCTGAGAGTTTTTTGACATGACAAATTTGATTTTGATGCCAATATGGTTCCTACTTGTAGAAGGCGCTACCTACATATTTTTAAACTGATTTGAAGAGTAATAACTTTTCGCTCGTACCTGCATAAAACTAATAAGTAAAAAAATATACATTGAGGACGTTTTTTACGTAAAAAATGTCTCTTGGTAAAAATCGCTACGAGTATTGGTTTTCGAGATATTTGGAATCGAAATGACCAATCCCTGTCATCATTGACATAAATTAAATATGTTGACTAAATACTTATTAGACTTCTTCTTCTTCTTCTTTTAGAAGACGTATCGCCTGTTTAGTTCCGGTTTCCTCCTCGTCTAAGCAACTCTTGCGAGGTTGACTGCCAACTGTCTTGCCAACGTTTAGGTGGTCGTCCAGTAGGTCTTCTGCCATGGGGCATGCCTTGTTCAATAATAACATGTATTGACTGTTTCCATTCTAAATATCTTGAGAACGGTTGCTCGTAGCGATTTTTGCCAAGAGACATTTTTTACGTAAAAAGTTCCGGAAATGTATATTTTTTCACTCGGTCGTTTTATACAGGTACGGACAAAAAGTTATTACGCTTCAAAACAGTTAAAACACATGTAGGTGGCGCCCTCTACCAGTAGCAGTCATACTGACATCAAAATTAAATTTCTCATGTTAAAAAACTCAAAATCACAATTAAAATCTATCACACTAAGTTTGTATCATGATGCAAAAACAGATGCGCATAAGCTTACCTAACACCTAACTTGATATTAAAAATGTCTGGAATTAAGTTCCTAAAGAAAATATAACAAATACTGAACATATAGATGAATAGTGGACCCCCTCCCTTCCACTTTCAACACAGAAAAATGAAATGCCACTCATTTTTAATCTGAGGTATACTAAATTTCTTGCTATTTCAACAATCGGCATTTTTTTCACTGATCAGGAATGTTATAAATAATCACAGAATAAGAGTATTACATATAAATCATACATTATAATCGGTATAAAAAAAACAGAAAAAAATACGACGCTTGTAGAAAGTGTATATCATAAACTGACAAATTGTTTAAAGTACCTGTCAGAAGTCAACAATATTAAAACCGTTATAACTTCTTAATGGTAACATGCTTTTGACTGTAGTAGTTTAATTAAGATTATCGTTAATTACATTTTAAATTTACTACAAAACCCACAATTCGATATACAATAAGTTTATATTTTTGTAAAAACATTTATCATAAACTAACAAATTACGTAACGTACTTATTATAGAAATGTCAATAATAAATATTAAAAATATTATAAACAGCTTAATGTTAACGTAATTTCAAGAATCTAAGTCTAAGAATCTAAGTCTAAGAATTATTATTCAACACTTTAAATTTACCGCAAAACAAAATAATTTAAAATAAAATAAAGTTTATTACACTTTTGATTTGTACCTATAAACCTGATTTAAAAAAAAATGACATAACTAATCAATTTACAATATTGTAAACGATTGTAGAAAATGTAAATAAATTCACAAGTTGTGTAACATATGCTTGTCGACAGAGAAATCGGTAAAATTAAAAATATTCTTAAATAAAAAATGTATTACTACTAAAATACTATTTATAGTTTTAAATTACCTACTTTAATATAGAACATCTGGTGTTCGTAATAGAATAAAAATTATACCATCTGTAACTAAATTTATTTCACAAAACACGCACATCCTTGAAGATTTTATCCATTCTGATAAAATAGAGCGTTCAGCCGGGCATTTTGGAACAAACGGCGAGAAAAATCGTTCCAAGCAAGAACATTTATTTTAAACAAAGTAGCTAACGCTCGATGTTGTCGAATTCGAATATCCTCAGTTGCGATTTACAACTTGGCACTTTGCGAAACACAGAATTCACGAAATTTATAAATTGGGGTAAAATATATGCTTTTCGTGCTCTTTTAAAGAATTCTGTTTTAGTTTTAAAAATACATTTGTATAGTATTTTAATTTATCACAAACTGATATAAATAGGTAAGTTAAATATTAATAACGCAACACTAGAAATAGTAGAAGAAATCAACAGAAGAATTAAGTTAGCATGGAGTATTTATAGAAAAAACTCAATCATATTCAAATCTAGAATGTCACTTTATCTAAAGAAGAAAACATTCGACCAATGTGTACTACCAGTCATGACCTATGCATGGGAAACCTGGACACTTAAAACAGACATCATAAGGAAACTGCAGGTCGCACAACGCTCAATGATACAAAATATACTGGGAATAACCAAGAGAAACTGTAAAAGAATAGAGTGAATACGACAAAAGACCCAGGTAATAGATGTCATCCACAGAGTCAAATCCCTCAAATGGCAATGGGCACCTGGCAAGAAGAACGGACAACAAAAATTACAGCATGTTACCCACGAGGAATTAAGAGGCCTAGAGGAAGACCGAACCTGAGATGGGACCATGATCTTAGGAAATTAGCAGGGATAACTTAGACCCGCATAGCCAATAATAGACAACAATGGGCTCAAACAAAGAGACAAGAAAGTATGTGAGGGAGGCTACACGATAATTGGAAATGGTTGAAAAATCTGGCAATGACGATGAATATAAATATTAAACAAATTACAAGTTTTAGATATATTATGCGTGCCCGGTGACGTAGAGGTACAGGCTCTCGTCTACCAATCTCAAGGTGTGGGTTCGATTCCCACACCCGGCATTTCATCAGCCGACTATTTTTATTAAAATAAAAATAGTTTGGGTACCTAGGTCGACTAAGCCTTAAATGAGTACTTGGAATTCACAATCCTGAGGTAATAATAGGCGGTTGAAGCGTAGTGCTAGCCACATTACCTTCCTTGTATACCAAACGGATCTAGTATAGCAAGCTGTACCTTGCTACTCCCAAGGCGTTAAACGCTATATACGGGAGCTATTATTATTAGATATATTATGTTATTTACAAATAAATTATAAAACTTTGTGCAATATATAAGAATCAAATAAAAAAATCACCATTCTTCCTTTTAAGCACGTAAAAATTCAAAAATTATTTTAAACTGTGTGCCTTCTATTTGACCTAATTCTGTAAACATATAAGAAAACGAACTTTATTGCACAGAAATTGTACATCATTATTATTTTTACACAGTGTTTTGCAACATCTATCTGGATCATTTTAAACTAATTCAGAACAAGGACAATCTTCAAGAGAGCTAATTCTTAAAACAAAACATTTTAACCATTACTACACCCAAAATTCAAATAAAAATCATGCAATATACTCAAACCTACAAAAAAAACAAACTCAAAACAAAAAAGTTTTATTTAAAACAAATTATAAAAATAAATACAAAACTATTTATTGCACAGAATCTTGTATAACCTTATAATATTAATTAATCTCTGTAGTTCAAAATTCATATATTAAAAATATTTAATTATTTATTGGTATTATTTATCTCTTGTTAAAATAAAGTAACTGCTACATACACTATATTGTTCAGCAAATTAACATATAATAAAAAAACGGTGTCACATTGGCCTCTAAAATGACAGTAGAATTTCTGCCAGACCGAGACTAATATGTACTGTATTAAAAAGTGACATAAAACTGACAAATATAAATATTTAAAGAAAAAAAAAACAGCTTCCAGACATGTCATTAACAACTAACTGAAAACTTTTTACTAATTTCCAATTAAGTATTAATTTTGGAAAAGCTTTCATGTCAATTTATAAGTAATGACATAAAGGGGTCGCCCCAAAAAAAAATATCGCCAATTTTCATTTCAACGACCACAGTAAAAATGTTTTTTATCGATCATACTGATAATACTATATGCAACTTAAACTACACGAATCGAGATTAAATCATGAAATATTTCTTTGATCAATAGGCTCCAAAAAATATTTTTAATAAACCCGCACTGTGATCACTTAGAATGACGGTTATAATCTTTAAAAGTCACTTTTAATTGCTTTATAAAAACGGGCGTTATGGAGCAAGCTGCAACCCCCAAACTGGTACAAGGCGCTCATATACCGATAAGCCAACATGAAGAATACCGCAAAAAAAATCAAGAATGATCTTACAGCATGTACAGGTTTAATGCAGCAAGGAACAACGGCCCGGAATAGACAAGTATGAAATGGAAAGCTGGAAGGAAAAGGAAAAAGGAATTTTAAATATAACAATAACAAATATTAAATATTCATATATGTAGCGATAAATCGGATATTGAAAATATAGGATAATAAACGACTAACCTTAAAATGTGGCCTATTGAGCAACTCCTTCAGCTCGTGCAGATCCCTCCTGTCCACGTCTCTACGATGTTCCGACTCTTTTATCGTTTCCAACATATACAGCAGACACTGCACCGCATCGTTAGATGGCGCCTTGATCGGCGTGGGAAGTCTCGTTACTACTTGGTCAAAAATCTAAGAAAAAACATTCAATTGAACCCAGATTATATACGGCGTTCTAATTTTTTAAAGATATTCAGTAGTCAAAATATTTCCAATCTCAGAATCTGTAATTCCTGAATCAAATAATTTTCGAGAAAGAGAGACCTACATTTAGGAGTTCTATATTCAGAAAACAGGATCCAGACTCAAAAACCAGAATTTCCGTAACAAGGATCACAATTCTACAAACAAAACACATTTCAGAATTCTATATTTAGAAACTAAAATTCCAGATTCAGAACACCAGAATTCCAAATTCAGGATCCAGAATTCCTGACTTAGAATACAGGATTACAAAAACAGAACCATATTTCATAGTTCTATATTCATAAAGCAGAATTCCAGATTCAGAAGCTAGAATTCCAGATTCAGAACCCAGAATTCCAAATTTATAAACCAGAATTTCTGAATCAGAACCTAGGATTCCAAAACCAGAAACCATATCATAGTTCTATATTCACAAATCAGTATTCCAGACACAAAACCCAGAATTTCCGTTATAGTATCGGACCTTTTAAAAAAATTATTTTTTTTTTCAGAAACTATTTGAGTTTACCAAAAATGCTTTTTATAACTACTACTGGGTAAATGAATTTCTAGTATACTATGACTTTTTTGAAACTTTAGTTTCGGAGATGTAAATTTAATCGGACCTTTTAAAAACATTATTTTTTTTTTCAGAAACTATTTGAGACAGAGTTTACCAAAAATGCTTTTTATAACTACTACTGGGTATATATATGAATTTCTAGTATAGTATGACTTTTTTTGAAACTTTAGTTTCGGAGATATAAATTTAATCGGACCTTTTAAAAAAATTATTTTTTTTCAGAAACTATTTGAGACAGTTTACCAAAAATGTATTTTATAACTACCGTATGATCGAATAAAAACGGCGTCAGCGATGGCTATGAAATGAAGTTCGCTGTCATTTTATATGTAAAATTATATGGGAAATGTCATCGATGTTCATTTCCAAACCAACTGGACGCCGTTTTTTTTTTCGATCATACGGTACTACTGGGTAAATGAATGTCTAGTATAGTATGACTTTTTTTGAAACTTTAGTTTAGGAGTTATAAATTTAATCGGACCTTTTAAAAAAAATGTTTTTTTTTCAGAAACTATTTGAGACAGAGTTTACCAAAAATGTTTTTTATAACTACTACTAGTTATATATAGTATATAATATGGCCAGTCGGACCCTGCGTCGATCCGTTCTGTAAATACGGGGTATCCGTAAAGGGTAAGAGGAAAAACGAAATTCTCTATATACGAGCAATTCATGGGCGCTCTATAAATAGTGTTACGGATTCCGTGGGTCCACTAATTTAAACTCACGATAAAATACTTAACGAATTTATTTTCTCACTTTATACACAATTACTAACTTATAACACACAACAAACTAACTATTTATAAGATTCCTTCACCAAATTGTCCGATTTTCAATTTCCACGCGGTATATTCAAATTTCAAAAACTGTCTCAGTTGACGATGGCTCCGGCTTATATACTCTATTGACTGCTTCTCGAAATTTCCCCAATTCTCGGAAAGCGTACTTCTTCATACCAGACAATTCTATTGTCTGATTCCCTTACTTCTCGACTTGACTAAAAGATGGCGCCTGAAAAAGTCTTTTAATTTCTGGCGGATACGTTGCGGTTGTGCAGGCAACCAGTAATACATTTTAATTTCTGGCGGATGCGCCATTTTTTCTTGACATTGCCCCCTTCTCAAATTTGATCGTCCCGATCAAGGTTCCTGTCTGGTATCTCTTCAATCGATCCAGATGAACTACTTTCATCTTACTTCTAGGGCTGCGTTGAATCCGGTACACAACATCATTTATCCTCTTGATGACTGTATAAGGACCTTCCCATGCTGGAGTTAACTTTGGGGACCTCCCTTTCTTGCGCTGTGGGTTATATAACCATACCATATCGTCCTGTTGAAATCCCGTAGAATTGGCTCTGAGGTCGTAACGAGCTTTCATCCGGTCACTGGCTAGCGTAATCTTACTTCTTACGGCCTTATGAATTTCCATTAACCTTTCCTTCAGTTCATCCGCGTAGTCCTCTACATTTGTGGTGCCGTCGTCTGGTGATCCGAACACCAAGTCACAAGGCAACCGTAATTCTCGACCAAATAAAATCTTCGATGGTGAAAGTCCGGTGGTGTTGTGAACTGCACTTCTATACGCCATTAGGAACAGCGGTATGTGTTGATCCCAATCTCTTTGATGTTCGGCCACCATTTTCGAGAGGTGTTCTTCAATGGTCTTATTGAATCTTTCGACCATCCCATCAGACTGCGGATGTAAAGCTGTTGTCCTAGTCTTGTGAATACCAAGCAGATCACACATCTTCTGGAACAGTCTTGACTCGAAGTTCCTTCCTTGGTCAGTGTGAAGCTCTAAGGGAATTCCAAATCTACTGAAGACATTATGACTAATACTTCAGCTACAGTCGATGCTTCTTGGTTTGGAATGGCAAAAACTTCTGGCCATTTACTGAAATAATCCATCGCCACTAAAACGTACTTGTTGCCCTTGTGCGTTTCAGGGAATGGGCCTGCAATGTCAACAGCGATTCTTTCGAATGGCAGTCCAACGTTATATTGTTTCATTTTTCCCCTAGATCGAGTGCTTGGTCCTTGGCTGGCTGCACAAATTTTACATTGTCGACACCATTTCTTGACATCTTCGCAATAATCCACCCAGTAAAAGCGATCTCTCAGCTTGCTCAAGGTCTTGTTTACCCCAAGATGGGCTCCAGTTTTACCACCGTGAATTTCTTCCAATACCTGGGTAACTTTCTTCCTTGGTACCAGTAACTGAGTTGTTACTGTGCTGCCATCCGCACTTTCCCATGTGCGCTTTAACAATCCATTCTCAATAACCAGTGAATTCCACTGAGCCCAGAGAGCTTTGAAAACGAGCCCTCTGTCCGCAATATCCTGCCACGGTGGTCTCTCGCCGTTACCTTCCTTGAGCCGTAGTATTGCTCCGATGTCTGGATCTTCCATTTGATCTTTCCTCAATTGTGTCGTCGTCCACTGTTCATCGGTTCCAAGTTTAAAACTCCTTATCATGACAGTGCCTTCACGTTGTTCCGTTTTACAGCAGTGCTTACAATCGGTTTGACAGGGTCTTCTGGATAAACCGTCTGCGTTACCATGCATTTTTCCAGCACGATGTTGGATGGTAAAGTGATACTGTTGGAGCTTCTCGAGCCATCGTGCTATTTGACCTTCAGGTTGTTTCATCTCCATAAGCCACTTGAGAGCCGCATGATCTGTCCTAATTAAAAATTCTTGGCCGTACAGATATTTATGAAATGATCAACTGCCTTTACAATTGCTAGCAGCTCCTTCCGGGTAACGCAGTAATTCCTTTCTGGTTTGGATAGAACTCGACTGTAATATTCTATCACTCGTTCTTCGCCATCTTGCACTTGTGATAGCACTGCACCGATGCCGATGTTGCTGGCGTCGGTATCCAGGATATACCTTCCTTGTTGTTGTGGGTAGGCTAAAATAGGACTTGAACATAAAGCCGCTTTAAGTCTTTCAAAGGCTACATCACAATCGGTGTTCCATTCGTAGCCGACTTCATCACCTGTAAGTTTATGTAAAGGTGCAGCTATGTTGGCAAATCCCTTGACAAATCTTCTGTAATATGTGCATAAACCCAGAAAACTTCTAAGTTCATGTTTGTCGCGAGGTTTAGGCCAATCCTTGATTGCAGCGATTTTCTTCTGGTCGGTGTAAATTCCGTCTGCTGAGACTACATGACCCAAGAATTCCACTTGTCGCTGGAATAAACTACACTTCTTCGGGTTCAAGTACAGGTGAGCATTCCGTATGCGGCCGAAGACATCTTCTAAATTTCGCAAATGCTCTTCAAAAGTTCTTCCCATAACCAATACATCGTCGAGGTAAACCAAGCACGTTTTCCAAGTTAATCCTCTTAACACCACCTCCATGAGACGTTCGAAAGTGGCTGGAGCATTGCATAATCCAAACGGCATGACCTTGAATTGGTATAGTCCGTTTCCTGTAGAAAAAGCCGTCTTTTCTTTGTCTTCCTCGTCCAGACCAACTTGCCAGTATCCACTCTTTAAGTCGAGAGTGGAGAACCAGCACGAACCTGCCAGTGTGGTTAACGTGTCGTCTATACGTGGCAGTGGGTAGCTATCCTTCTTAGTGACGTCATTGAGCTTCCAATAGTCCACGCAGAATCGTGTACTACCATCTTTCTTCGTCACCAAAACAACAGGAGATGACCATGGACTCGATGATTCTTCGATAACTCCATCTTCTAGCATCTTATCTACCATTGTCTCCATTTCTTGTTGTTTGGAAAGGGGCACCCTTCTAGGACGTTGTCGAATCGGCTGAGCATGACCAGTATTAATCCGGTGCTTCACAAAATCCGTTCTTCCACTGTTGTTCTTCTCAAAAATACCGCCATGCTTTAGCAGGAACTGCTTGGCCTTCTGTTTCTCCTCAGGTGTTAGGTGATCCCATGGCTGTTCTAGATGTTTTAGTGTTTCTTGGGATGCCTTTTGTGTAACAGCTGACGACACTTCATCACATCGGGTGACACTTCTTACAGGTTCGCAGATGGCTATCTTGTCACCTTTTGAATCTTGACACAATTCCAGGAAAAAACATTCGCAATTCTGATCGGTATATTCTTGTCAGTGTTCACCAACGACTTTCCTACTAAGTACTTATCTTTTTGTTGTCGCTACTTTGTACCAGTCCAACACAGCACCCAGCGATTTTCTCCACTTTACCGAATACGATTTTCTCGGTATTACCAGGTATCACCACAGTTTCCGCTGATCTTACATCCATTCTGCCTGGTCCCTCGTCTGGAGATAACATGAACTCTTCATTTCCAATATTTAAGATATTTCTCTGGTGATCGAACGAAAATCCATGTTGACGAATCACATCCATGCCCA